TCAGAAATCATAATTCCACTTGAGGACAAACTCTCGGCAAATCCTTTCATTTTAAGAAAATAATCATGCATACTAAGATCATGTTTCTTTGTATTTTGCAGTAAGGTCTTAATATGTAGTGTCTTAGCTCGTGACTCAGTAAGAAATTCCTTTTCTAGAGTGAGCCAAATTTCAGTTGACAATTGACATTTAGAAATTACCAAAAAGATTGACTCTGAAATGGATGACAACAGCCAGCTGACTACGAGCTTATCTGTCTTCTTCCAGAGGTGATATTCCGGATTAGATTTTTTGACAACTTCAAAGGTTGGGCCATCTGATTGAGCTCGAATGAACGGCGCTGGACAAGCAACCATTCCAGTGAGATGATCCTCAAGATCATGAGCTCCTACTGCAAACAAGATTTACGATTTCCAGGACCTATGATTATCTCTAGTGAGTTTAGGGTTGATTACAGGGAGTGTGTTTGAGGATATTGTGGTTAAGCAAGTGAGATTACTGAGGTCAGAATTATGCTTCTGCCCTAATTGAACTGAATCTTTATCAGATTTGTGATGTGGAGAAGAATTTGAAGAAAAATCGGCCATTGTTGATGTTGGTCAAAAGGCTTTGATACCAAGTTGCGAATGAGAATTGAGAGGGAAAAAATTAGGAGAGTAAAGTTGTTTACTGTTGACTTTCATTTATTGAACAGAAAAAGGTTACAGCTCTATTATATACACAAGTCTAATACACGTGAGTAACAGATTGCAACTTGCAGCAATACATGTGTAAGTAACAAATTACAAGTTGCAGCTTAGGCTAAAGTCATTTATCAGTAACCTAAATATCATGAATCACTACATACACTAATCCTAACATCTTCCCTTAAACCAAACTTCCATAGGTATGAACCATTTGATACACTAATCCTAACATTACCTATGTTAACCCGTACCCGCAAAAAGTAGCTGAGTACTCACGGACCCACGGGTACGGGTCCCTTTTCACCAGGTCTAGTATATATGGTAACTTGTCTTATAATTGTATAGTGTTGGCAATTAAATAATGTTGAATGAATAAGACTAAGAAAATATTTATGATATGTTTGTTTGTAATTTTTTAATAACTAATTATAAGTATTAAATATTTGTTTTTACAAATTTTAAATATCTGAAACCTGGTATTTTTACATAAATATCCTTGTCAATGTTAGGTGTGATATATATTTATAATTTATATTACAAATCATGAATTTGATAAAATATAATGAAAATAATTTAATTTTGCAAGTACTTTGATTTAATTTTTTAATTGTGTGTGTTAGGGCCAAAAATCGTCCTTGGCCCAAATAGGGAAAAAGGACCATTAGCGAAGAAGGACCAAGCCCAGTCCTGCAAAGGCCCAANGTTGTAAAACAAGTCTAAAATATATTGTTGTGTAAATTGTACTAAATAAATTCATAATTTTATTTGGTATTATTTAATATGGTATAAAATTGTAATATTTTAAACATGGTACAATATTTTGGTTCGATCATGGTGTAAAATAGTATTATAATATAATGCAATTCATTTGGTACATTACAATATCCTGTACCAAAGGCGTCCTTAAATAAATTATACTACTCATTAACCAAGCCTCTAGAGCCTTAAAACATTTCTCAATCAAAATCAATGAAATTAACACTGCCATCAAATGTATCGAAACACAAATTTTCATGTTTAAGTAAAAGCTAAAATCCAGATTTATATCATAAAACCTTGAAGTATCAATTAGTTTTCATAACAATCTAAACAAATTATTGCAGAAAAAGCCCTGCATTACGTTTAGCAGAACTAGGAAACATTTCCAGTAACCAAACTAAGTAATATAATTTCTACTTTAATGATGAAAACTATCATTCACCTGAAAAAGGGTCTTTCAATTCAGCCAACGGCATGAATTGTCAAAAACCCCAGCTAGAAACAGTTAGCAGAAGAAAACACCCTCTTAGCTGAAATCGGGGGGAAAAAATACATAAACATGTAAATTTAATGTCCTTCCTTTTCCTTTGATGTTTGACGCGGGGAATGTACTTCACAAACAATTTATTATCCTGAGGAATACTTTTGAATTATATTAAGTTAGATATATCGAAATGCTGTTTCCCTTGGCTTGTCCATATCCTTTAGGACAGACATCAATTTTCCTCCGGAAGATGAATTTTTAAAATTAAGAATATCCCTTTTAGATCAAACATGCGAGTGCCAAAAGCAATCATATATGAAACTTTCATCAAGTAGGGTGGAAAAATTATTAACTTTTCATGTGTGAAAATCAGTAGCAGGTTTCATCATTGATGAACACTCCTCATTGGAAGTACTTTTGACGACAAAATCCTCCACACCAAACACACAAATGTCATTAAAATATAAGGTATCCGTTTAATGGATTATTAAAACGTTTCCATGTCCAAGAACTTGGAAATACCCCATTCTGTCTTCATTGAATGAAATCGCCTTATTCTTCCATCTGCATTAGAAAAAAAAAAAAAAAAAAATGGGCTTCTTTGGTTCAGTTTTGGAAATACTATTATTAGTATTCCCAAAAAAGTTAAACAGTAAAATGTCATTATTCCTAAAATATTATTTTATATATTTCAATTTCTTTTAAACCTCCTAAATTTGTTAATTTAACTAAACACCCCCAAATTTTTTTTTTAGAAATTGCAAAAATACTCCGGCCACCCTCCAGCGGTGGTAGCCAGCTGTCCGTATTTAATGGATGATTGGGGGTATTTTTATTAACTTTTAATATTTTATTATAAGGGTGTTTAGTAAATAAACAAACATAGGGGATATTTTTGTTAATTTTCAAATTCTACATGGTAATACCCGTCCAATTTAACTTTTTTCAAAAGATTATTCTAAAAACTATGAGAATAATGAACCAAAAAGAGCCATGACGTTCCCCATTTTCGTCCCATTTGGGTAAAGGCACAATTTCCAGTAATTGCAGACTGAATTCAATGTTTAAAAGAGAACCTAAACTTACATTCTTATATATCTTGCAGAATGAAATACCATCTTGTAGCAAAAATTCTCAAAATGCTAATAATGTACCAAAAAAAGAAAAATAAATTATACCATTTGAAGTCGCCTGCATCAAACTCGTCTGAAGGGTAAGTGCCTGCTTCTGATAGTAAAGAGAGACTGAATTTTGAATGAGTAATGACTAGATGGAGTATCCTTTAACACTACTCTGGTAAAAATTAAGGAATTCTACATATTTAGTCATGATAAAAATTAAACAAACTTACTATTCTGGTCAGGTTTATCAATTTTCATTTTGTTCATTTATATAAAATTTTAGCGTGAAATATATACCTCTTTAAATTAGGGGTCTGTGGGTTCGGGAATGCAGCCCAAATCTTGGGAACTAGAATCGGAATCGTACAGTCTCGGTTCCCAAGATTTAGAAGCCAAAACGAGTACTGAGCGGTTTCTGAATCCTAGAACCGAAGGTTCTCGGTACGACTGACAAGATTACAAATATTACCCTACTGTTCACATAAAATTACAAGTATGCCCTATAGTATTTCCAGAAATTACAAATGTACCCCGTTAAGTGTTACTTGTACAACAATTACAAATTTTCCTGAATCGGATATCTAATTTTTTTGCACACCCCTATGTGCCATGTTAAGTGTTACATGTACAGTTCTTAAACCCTCAAAATTCTCATTAACACCCTCTTTTTTGGGTATTCGGACTAGCTTGCACCCACTTCAACTAGTCCCCTAGGGCCTAGAAGTTAACGGCCAGATAAGTCTCAGATGGCTACCTTTTATTAGCAGTCATGGAGATTCGAACTCAAGACCTCTTGAGTAAATACAAGAGTTCCAAGCGAATTACCAAACTACCTAGAGGTAGTTAACTTCTTTGGTTCTTCCCTTTCCACTTTCACAATATTCTTCTCATCAAAATTGGAACTTCTTCCACTTTCTCTCCCGTTTCCTCCTTAGCCAAACAACTGATAAAAAATTACATAAAGAAAAAGCAGCCAGACTGGAAACATTCTGCAAACTACTCTCTCCCTTATGCACAGGTTGTGCGACTTAGCAATGCAAGCCAGGTCAGATCGTGATTTGGGGCTACCCAAATCTACGCCAGGTCGGGACTTGGCCAGCCATGATTCCCGGATCAACAACGTAGCCGCCACTAGTGACCTTACAATTGGTTAGATCTGCAGCATGGTTGCGCCTAACCACGCCACAATTAGCCATAATGCAGCCAAGCGATGCGGCGAGGCCGTAGATCTGATGATTCTCTGCCACACTCTTCCTTTTTTCACTTTACCATTTCAAACTCTTCAACTCATGGAAGCTCTGAAACTACTTTCATATTCTTTATTTTACACCCATAAACAACATCCATTCACAAATCCAGCTCAGTTCTCCTATACCTACAGGTCCGAAAAATTTATAAACCCTTAAAATTAAGTCCAGATTCCAATCCGAGTACCTGGATCTTGGTTCTGGTTACTTGAATTGGTGGAACCGATAGCAAAACTGCATAGTACCAGTTCCCCACATATGAGAACCAGAGGTCAATCGGAACCCCGGGTATCTACCACTTCCGATTTTACTTGGAAGTTCTGCACACCCCTACTTAAAATGGCTCCTTCAATTTAGAGATTCTTTCTGTCAAGCTTTGCTTCGAACCTTAGTTTTCATAGAGTTGAAAAATTCTAAAATCTGTTTGATTGATCATTTCACTAACTTTTGGCACAGTTTTAATAGTAAGCATGGTCAAATAACTTAAAAACTCCAATATGAGACACAAGACAGTACAAATTAAGAACAACAGCACTAGCGAATAAAAAAAACAGTAGCACCACTAATCTTATATATTAAAACCCTTAGTTTCATACTCTGCAACATTACAAGATGCAAAATTATAGACAAACATTCGGTATTATTTATTTTATCACAACCTGAACCTATTATTGCTGGAGAAGCATTAATACGTTTAGGAGAGCTATGACTTATTCAGAATAATCGAACCAAGCAATTCAACTTTGGCTTCAATGATGAAACTGTCATCCACCAAATAACCCTGTTCCGGATCTTTCAATGTATCTAATGACATGAATTGTGTAAAGCCCCAATCTTTTGTTGTTGGACCAAACATATGGTCTTCAACTGGAATCAAGGAAGAAGCACAGGTTCATAAGACCAAATTTCATGAGAAAAACTTCCATAAAAAAAGTAAATTCATTGACGGTTCCAATTGAACTAACCTTTTTTTTTCAATGTCAGGTCCAGTCCTTTGATTTTTGACACGCAGAATGAAATTTGCAAACAATTTAGCATTAGTAGACTGATCAGACGATAAATAAATTGAAATATATTTTCCCTTGCTATCTAGATTTCCATTAGGGTAAAGAAGAACATTCTTGCAAAACATTAATCAGCTTAAGCTGTAATTTGTATAGGCAATATATAGCGAAGAGAAGTAAATATATATATTCAATCAACGCCAAAAGCAATCAAGCATATACAAACCATTTGTCTGGTCCGAATGATTCAGAAATGTATCTTATACCAGTCAGGGTCTTAAAATTTTTAACTATCCAGGTATGATAATAAGTAGTAGTAGATTCTTCCATCTTTGATAAAAACTCCCCCTTAAAAGTATTTTTGACAACAAAAACCTCTGCACCGAAGACACAAGTGTCATTGATAAGGTATCCGTTTGATGGATTACGAAACGTTTCTAGGTCCAAGAATTTGGAGATGCCCCATTCTGTCTTCATTGAATGGAAACGCCTTATTTTGCCATCTACATCAGAAGAAAAAGAAAAAGCTAAATAAAGTATATATACCAAAGAGCTAGAAAAGATAAATGTTACCGAATTATATGTAGAGATATAAGCTACCTTGAATAGTAAAATACTTGTCCTGAAGCTGATCAAATACAAAGAAATTGAAAATTGCATTGATTTCCCACCCAGTTGGGAGAGAACTCATTTCTGCCAATTCTAAGTACACAGATATATGACCTTCCCCTTTAATCTTCTTGTCCCCATTTGGATAGAGACACAATTTCCTAATTGCAGATGAAATTCAAATTGTAAAAAAGGATATCTAAATATGTATTTATATCTATATATACCATATTGATATTATCCTTGCTGAATCAAATATTAAGTCCTTTATTTGGCTTATTTCTTCAAAAAGTTATATACAATTAAACAAAGTAGATATTATGTCATTAAATAAAATACCATTTGAAGCCCCCAGCATCAAACTTGTCTGAGATGAACTTGTTTAAATTGTTAAGAGATGAGAAAGACTGAAATTTTAACAAGTAATGACTAGGCGGAACGTCCCTTAACACTGGAAAAAAATACAGATTTGTTAGATAAGGAACAATGTATGATTAATTGTGATAAAAATTAAATAAACTTATTAACTATTATATATATATATATTATTGACTTTCCATATCTCTTTGTATTTGCTTTCCTAGTATATCTTGATTTTGTTTCCTCTTATTTTGTTGATTTAATTTCTTGTTCTGTAATCCTGAAGTCAATGGGATTATTCCATGTAATTTCCCTTATAGTCAGGGACTGCTGTATTATATAAACCAATTTTGGTTGATTAATAAAAAAAAACTAATTAACACAAAATTGATATGGTATCAGAGCAAGCCATCTAGGGCACGCTTCTCCTCATCATGTCTGATGATTCTAGCCAACATTCTTCTACAAAAACCCAATCAATCACTGCAAACACCAAACAAACCATGAATGATTTATCATCCCCATATGTCTTACACCCATCTGACAATCCGGGAATCGTGCTAGTTTCATGTCTTCTCAAAGAAAATAACTATCCAACATGGCGAAGAGCCATGTCCAATGCATTACTTGCCAAGAACAAATTTGGTTTTGTTGATGGAACTTTGCTGCGACCGGAACCAGATTCAACAGATCTTGCAATATGGATAAAAAACAACTTCATGATTATCTCATGGATATTTAATTCTCTTGACTCATCTCTTCATGACAGTGTTGTTTGTTTTTTATACAGCTAGGGAGATATGGGTCGATCTTGAAGAACGTTTGTCACAAGGAAATGCACCTCGAGTGCATCAACTAAGAACTGAGATAGTGAATACGCAGCAGAAAGATATGTCAATTGCTGCATATTACACAAAGCTTAAGGGACTTTGGGATGAGTACAACGCTTATTCTCAAATTCCGCCTTGCACTTGCGGTTCGGCCAAAGCAATTGCTGTTGAGAAAGAAAAAGAAAAGGTTCATCAATTCTTGATGGGATTAAATGAAAAATATAATGTGGTGAGATCTCAAATCCTAAACACTGATCCTCTTCCTTCGCTAGCCCGATCTTATGCACTTGTTTCGCAAGAAGAAAAGCAACAACAAATTGCAACGACAAGAGGGGCAACCATTGTTGAAGCAGCTGCATTTGCTGCATCCAAAAACAACCTGAAGGCTGTGACACGAAGCAACAATGGTAACCGAGACACATCAAAGCTGTATTGTGAACATTGCAAGAAAAATAAACACACAAAGGAGACATGTTTTGAATTACATGGCTACCCGGATTGGTGGGAAAAGAACAAAACCAAATCGACACGAGGAAAGATGGCAAATCAAACACAAACCATGAACACGACAGGACAATCAACTGGATCTCCAATCGGCGGCCTCACCAAAGAACAGTATACCCAACTCATGTCTTTGCTGAATCTTGACAAGACACAGAACTTGAATCCAATTGCAAATTTTGCTGGTAAGGCAAATTCTCTTTCCAATGGTAGTGTTGAATGGATTTTGGACTCAGGTGCTTCTGACCATATGACTTGCCAGAAGAGTATCTTACACAATGAAACACAAGTGGGTTTTAACCTTCCTGTTTCCATTCCCCAGATGGCTCTTCTGTCCCAGTTAAATCTTATGGAGAAGTCACTATTAATCCTAACATTAAATTAAGCAATGTTTTGTATCTACCTTCTTTTTCTTATAATCTCATCTCCATAGGCAAATTAACTAATGCCTTAAACTGTGTTGCTCATTTCTTTCCTACCTTTTGTATCTTACAGGACCTAGCCACGAGGAAGCTGATTGACATGGGTGAGCTTAAGGATAGTCTTTATTATTTCAGGGCACTCAGTGCGACTACTACATCTGCAAATGTGGTTCAGGATACAAGCTTTGAGTTATGGCACCAACGACTTGGTCACCTTTCTTTTGATCGAATGTGTTCTATTGATGGTTTAAATCTTCACAAGATGAAGAATTTTTGTTGTGATACTTGTCATCGTGCTAAACAAGTTTGACATTCTTTTCCTAATAGTTCTATTAAAACTTTCTTAAGATGGCTCCTTCTCTTGAGCTCTTGAACTCCATACGTCCAATAAATAATATGGAGAGAGAGTAGCTAATAAACACTAAATATATTTCCAATTTCAGAAAGAATGATTAATAATTAATTGGATTTTGCCTTTTGTTTCTTCTTCCTAATTATGTATGACTAACTTTTAGAATATAATTGTTGGATGTTTGATGCTTTACGAATTCAATCACCCAATATAAGAAAAGAATAAAGTAATTTCTTGATATTACATCCACAAATTTTTTTACTTCAAGTACATATACCACCCTTTCCTTGTAACTAGTGAGTTCCTTTATTCTTTCATTAAGGTTATATTAGTAATTGCATATTAGATTAATTTAATATTTAAAATCTTACTTTTAGGTCCACTACAGGATGTGGAACTTTTAGAGAATGTTAAACAAACAGAAAAGGGATGAGAGAAAAGACGAAAATTTTCATTTGCTTATGTATTGATTGATAACAGAATCAGTTACAAGTGTACTTATATAGTGAGCTGCTGAACCAAAGAAACAAAATTAGTTACAGCGAGGTTACAGAGAGAAAGAAGAGACTTCTATCACAACAGAGAAGAAAACACTGTTTTAGTAAAAGCTGGAGCTGAGAAGACTCCGTTTTGTTTTTCATAGAGTGTTCTTTGGCTTGGAATGGCAACGTTTTGTTCTATATAGGCTGTTTTATTTAAGACGGCAGCGTTTTGCTCTTCACAAACCAACAGCCTCCCTTAAGCTAGGCAACAGTTTGCTCTTCTCAAACCAACAACCTCCCTCAAGCTAAATTGCCCTGCAGTTTGAGCTTGACAATCTATCTACTTTATTCTTGCACAACTTTCCTCATATTAAGCTTGAACAACCTCCCTTAAGCTGTCAACTTATTGGTTCTGAACATCTTCTAGTATTTTACATATGACATGGCATCTTAATTTTCTACAGGAACATCCAACACCTGAAACTCAACTCTCCTTTAATTCAGTATGTAGTATTACACAAAAAAAATATATTTTTAACAAATGTCAACTTCAATCGTCAGTTTAATGTTTGCAGTAACAATCGACACCTGAATCTCAACTCCTTTAATTCTACCTGCGATAATCACAAAAATTTGAACTTTGAACAATGTCAACTTCAATCATCAGTAATTGTAACATTCCCTAGAGACAATTGAATTCGACTGTAAAGGAACAACATTCAATTATTCCTTTTAATCCTTCAAGCTACAAGGGACAACATTCAACTTTACTTTTAGTTCTTCAAACTGTGCAGCAGGAAGTGCCTTTGTTAAGATGTCAACGATTTGTAACTTGGAAGGTACATATTGAACAACAATCTTGTGAGCTAGAACTTGTTCTCTAATGTAGTGAGTGTCAATTTCTATGTGCTTGGTCCTGGCATGAAAGACAGGATTAGAGGCCAAGGCTCCAGCACTCACATTGTCACACCATATCATAGGGGTTTTTGTCATTGACAATACTAATTCAGCAAATATACTATTCAACCAAGCTATTTCAGTGGCTGTGTGAGTCAGAGCTCTATATTCAACTTCAGTAGATGATAGAGCTACTAACTTTTGTTTCCTAGAGCTCCATTGAATTAAATTTGGTCCAAAAAAGACACAATAGCCACTGGTGGATCTCCTGTCTTCTATATTACTTCCCTAGTTAGCATCAGCATAACACTCAATGTCTAAAGAGGCAACTCGTGTGAATTTGAGGCCATTTCCTTAGTCCCTTGAATGTATCTCAAGACCCTTTTACATACTTGCCAATGAAGAACAGTTGGTGCTTGAAGAAATTGACTCAGTTTATTTACAGTAAAGCTGAGGTTAGGCCTTGTTAAGGTAAGGTATTGTAAAGCCCCTACCGTATTTCTAAACAAACTAGGATCAAGAAAGAGTTCACTATCACCTGAAAACAACTTCGAGTTGTTAGACATGGGAGTAGCACAGGAATTAGCTTCTAGCATTCTGGTTTTGATCAACAAATCAGTAGCATATTTCGTCTGCCGTAGATGAATTCCTATGGCTGTTCATGTAGCTTCCAGACCAAGGGAATACTTGAGTGAACCGAGAGCTTTTAAGGCAAATTCATCGTTTAGCTCATGCACAAGCTTACTCACATAAAGCATATCAGACCCAGTTAATAAAATATCATCTAAATATACTAGTCCATAGGTTACTTGTGAAGATTGATGAAGTATGAACAAACTTGAGTCTGAAACAAAATTTTTAAATCCCTTATTTAAGAGGGCTTGCTTGAGTTTGTCAAACCAGACTCTCGGAGCCTATTTGAGTCCATAAAGTGCTTTGTTCAGTTTCCAGACATAGGAGGAGTTAGAAGACTCTTCAAAGCCAAGAGGCTGAACCATATAGACAACCTCATTCAAAACCCCATTAAGAAATGCATTATTCACATCAATTTGTTGGATATCCCAATTGTGAGTAACTGCCAAAGTAAGGATACTTCGAATTGTTGAGGGCTTAATTACTGGACTAAGAGTCTCAAAATAATCAAGTCTAGGAGTCTGTTGAAATCCCTTGGCTACTAGTTTAGCTTTATATTTTTGCAAAGAGCCATCTGCATTATTCTTGACTTTGAATACCTATTTGTTGCCTATAATGTTCATCTCTGGTGAATAAGGAACAAGAGTCCATGTATTATTAGAAACCAAAGCTTCATATTCATGCTGCATTGCTGTTTTCCACTTGAGACTAGATAAAGCTTCTTGGACAGATCTTGGTTTTGGCACAACTGAGCCAGTGAGTATGAAGGCTATGGGCTGAAACACTGGCTTAGATGATGTAGCATTCAACTTGGCTACCTTGGCTCTTGTAAGCATAGGATGTATATTTCCAGAATTATCTGAAGCATCTGGAGCTGAAGCACTAAATATCAGCAAGCTTTGAAGGGGTTAAATCAATCTTAAGTGCACATGCTGGTTTGGACAGGTTGTTACTGGTAAGGTAAGGATCTATATTTGAGAAGGAGGATTGGTGTTTTGCAAATGTGGTGATAGGTAAGGATGATAAAGGAACTTGGTGGCATGATGTATTAGTTTTGGTAGGATAGGACGAGCAAGGGATTTGATAGGTTGTTAGGTCTACTGTAATGGTTTTAGGTTGGCATGTTTGTTGTGATGATGGTATCTCTGGTTGCAACTGACAAGGTAATGAATGAGAAGCTAAATGAGGAGAAGAAACACATGTGGAATTAGTAGGCAAAGTAGGATTAATAGGTGGAGTAAAATTAGAACTCTTACCACTGGTTGAAGGAGAATCATTAGAAGAACCAACTACTGCAAGAGAGACAGGTTCAGCCGAGTGATTTGAGTGACTTGAATGACTTATGGGAATGAAAGGAAAACAATTAGGAGTAGAATGATCTGACTTGGATGACATTAAAGAATCTGAACTGACTTTAGAACAACTAGATGAAAAAGGGAAATTTTCATTAAACTTTACACTAGGAGTGACAAAAATTTTACCATCTGGACTAAGACATTTATACCCTTTCTAAATCAAACTATATCCTACAAAGACACATTTTTGGGAATGAAAACTAAACTTATGTTTGTTAAACATTCTAAGAAATGGAAAACATGCATAGCCAAACACCTTCAAAGTTGCATATGATGGTTGAAATTTAAATGATGGTTGAAATTTAAACAATAGTTGATAAGGTGATGCATGCTGTAAAACTTCAGTTGACATTCTATTAATTAGGTATACAGCGGTTTCAAAAGCAAGCCACCAAAAATGCAATGGCATGGATGCATGAGCTAATAATGTCAATCATGTTTCTACCACATGCCTATGTTTTCTCTCACTTCTTCCATTTTGTTGATGAATATAGGAACAAGAATGTCTAAACTGAATGCCCCCACAAGTGAGATAAGGAATTAAGCCCTTATATTTTCCTCCTTGGTCTGATTGAATGCATTTGAGTTTGTAACCAAATTGTCTCTCTGCAAGGTGATGAAATTTGATAAAAACAGATCTTACTTCAGCCTTGGTTCTTAAAGGAAAAAGCCATGTGTATCTACTGAAGTCGTCTAAAAATTGAACATAATATTTGAAACCTTCAGTAGAAGGAATGGGTGCAAGACCTCATATGTCACTGTGAATGAGTTCAAGTGGAAAGACTGCTCTAGATGAAGATCTAGGAAAACTAGTTTGATGCATTTTTCCTAGTTGACAGGCCTCACAGAACTCAACAGGTTTATAATTTGTGTTTCTCTGTAAAGACTGCATAATATGATGATATGCTTTGACATGAGGATGACCTAGTCTTTGGTGCCACAATAAAGGACTAATGTTTTTAGTCATGATAAATACATAGGGAGTTGAGACATCAGAATTATGTTCAGTGGAATGTGAAGTGAATGTCAATTAGAGCTTAAGGTAGCATTATCATGATTATGCAAAATGGGCTTGGTCGTATCAAGGCTAAGATTATATGCACAATTTTTATCATTATGAACACAATCGAAACATGATATGTCAACACATGGAGTAGCAGCAACATTGTATTGAGAACCAACATATTATCATTAATTTTATTGCAAGTATGTGACGTATCAAAACTAATATTACAAACATGGTTTGCATTATTAAAGAGCACAATGATTATGTAAGACATCTTCGTATTGAGCAATACTAGTAACATTTTGAGAATTAACAGAATCATCTTTATTTTTATTGTCATCATTTGAATTACAAATAGGTGAAGCACAAGCACCAACATGTTTAATGTTAGAAACAAAATAACTATCTTTAT